CACCATGCCCAACTAATTTTTGTATTTTTAGTATGGACAGGGTTTCACTGTGTTGGTCAGGCTGGCCTTGAACTCCTGACCCTGTGATTCACCCACCTCAGCCTCCCAAAGTGTTGGGATTACAGGCGTGAGCCACCGCGCCTGGCAAGAATTATATCTTAATAAAGCTTTTTTATGGTGGTATTCTAAAGCAAATCCTTTGCCACAGAGTAATTGCTATGCTTTGTTTGGCAATGAACTGCACACCCAGATCAAACTTCAGAGGAAAGAAAAAAAATCACAAAGCATTTCCCTTAATACATGAAAGCATACTACTCCAGTCGATTTCCCAACCATGCTAGATACTGGCTCTCTAAAATAACTTTAAGCATTCATGCATTTTTTTTTTTATGGAGTTTTGCTCTTTTGCCCAGGCTGGAGTGAAGTGATACAATCTTGGCTTACTGCAACCTGTGCCCTGGTTCAAGTGATTCTCCTGCCTCAGCCTCCTGAATAGCTGGGATTATAGGTACCCGTCACCACACCGGGCTAATTTTTGTGTCTTCAGTAGAGATGGGATGTCGCCATGCTGGCCAGGCTGGTCTCAAACTCCTGATCTCAGCTGATCCACCTGCCTCGGCCTCCCAAAGTGCTAGAATTACAGGTGTGACCCACTGTACACAGCTGCATCCATGCTTCTACATAAGTCTTTCATTTAAGTAGCAGTTCAAACTGTTTGCAGATACCTTAAAACTATAACTTTTCTTTTTAATCACTAATTTATTTGAATAGGGTAATGCACAAAAAAGCCATTCCTAATCTATGGTTTAAAGAAAAAAGAGGCCGGGCGCAGTGGCTCACGCCTGTAATCCCAGCATTTTGGGAGGCCAAGGCAGGCAAATCACAAGGTCAGGAGTTCAAGACCATCCTGGCCAACATAGCAAAACCCATCTCTAAAAATACAAAAAAATTAGCCAGACGTGGTAGCGGGTGCCTGTAACCCCAGCAGCTTGGGAGGCTTAGGCAGAGAGAATCACTTGAACCTGGGAGGCAGAGGTTGCAGTAAGACGAGACCACGCCAATGTACCCCATCCCAGGCAACAGTGCAAGACTCCATCTTTAAAAAAAAAAAAAAAGGCCTGACCCAGTGGCTCATGCCTATAATCCTAACACTTTGGGAGGCTGAGGTAGGAGGATCACCTGACCTCAAGAGCTCAGAACTAGCCTGGGCAACATAGTGAGACCTCATCTCTATAAGAAATGTTTTAAAAATACTAGGGGTGGCCAGGTGCAGTGGCTCATACCTGTAATCCCAGCACTTTGGGAGGCTGAGGCAGGCATATCACAAGGTCAGGAGTTTCAGACCAGTCTGGCCAACACAGTGAAAGCCTGTCTCTACTAAAAATAGAAAAAATTAGCTGGGCAGGTGGCATTCGCCTGTAATCCCAGCTACTCAGGAGGCTGAGGCAAGAGAATTGCTTGAACCCACGAGGCACGGGTTGCAGAGAGCTGAGATCACACCACACTGCACTGCAGCCTGGACAACAGTGCAAGACTTCTAAAAAAAAAAAAAAAAAATTAGGGGTGGTGGGGCCAGGCACAGTAGCTCACACCTATTATCCCAGTTTGGGAGGCTGAGGTGAGCAGATCACAAGGTCAGGAAATCCAGATCATTCTGGCCAACATGGTGAAACCCTGTCTCTACTAAAAATACAAAAAAAATTAACCGGGTATTATGGCACATGCCCGTAATCCCAGCTACTCAGGAGGCTGAAGTAGGAGAATTGCTTGGACATGAGAGACGGAGGTTTCAGTGAGCCAAGGGCATGCCACTTCACTCCAGCCTGGCAACAGAGTGAGACACCGTACCAAAAAAAAAAAAAAAAATTAGGGGTAGTGGTACGAGCCTATAATCCTAGCTACTCAGGAGGCTAAGGTGGGAGGATTTTTTTTTTTTTTTTTTTGAGATGGAGTTTCGCTGTTGTTACCCAGACTGGAGTACAATGGCGCGATCTCGGCTCACCGCAACCTCCACATCCTGGGTTCAGGCAATTCTCCTACCTCAGCCTCCCAAGTAGCTGGGACTACAGGCACGTGCCACCATGCCCAGCTAATTTTTTTATATTTTTAGTAGAGATGGGGTTTCACCTTGTTGACCAGGATGGTCTCGATCTCTTGACCTCATGATCCACCCGCCTCGGCCTCCCAAAGTGCTGGGATTACAGGTGTGAGCCATCGCGCCTGGCCAGGAGGATCTTTTAAGCCCAGCAGGTCTAGGCTGCAGTAAGCCATTATCATGACTCTGTACTTCAACCTGAGCAACAGAGCAAGACCCTGTCTCAAAAAAACAAAAACTAAAAAATTAAGGGCTAGGCACAGTGGCTCAGGCCTGTAATCCCACCACTTTGGGAAGCCAAAGATGGTGGACCACTTGAGGTCAGGAGTTCAAGACCAGCCCGGGGTGAAACCCCATCTCTACTAATAACACAAAAATTAGCCAGGCATGGTGGCGGGCGCCTGTGAATCCAGCTACTCAGGAGGCTGAGGCAGGCAAATCACTTGAACCTGGGAGGCAAAGGCTTCACTGAGCTGAGATTGTGCCACTACATTCCAGCAGCTGAGACTGTGTCACTACACTCCAGCCTGGACAACAGAGGAAGACTCCATCTCACAAATAATAATAAATTAATTAAAATGTTAAAAAAAATAAGGAAAAGGAATAAAAAAATTGATAACCGGTCAGGCACAATGGCTCAAGCCTGTAATCCCAGCACTTTGGGAGGCCGAGGCAGATGGATCATCTGAGGTAAGGAGTTCGAAACCAGCCCACCCAACATGGTGAAACTCTGTCTCTACTAAAAAATATAAAAATTAGCTGGGCATGGTGGCAGGTGCCTGTAATCCCAGCTACTAGGGAGGCTGAGTGAGGCAGGAGAATTGCTTGAACCCAGGGGGCAGAGGTTGCAGTGAGCCAAGATCATGCCACTGCACTCCAGCCTGGGCCACAGAGCAAGACATCATCTCGAAAAAAAAAATTTCTTTTAAATAAGTGAAGATGACATCTTTTCATTTCTTTAAATGCCAATGCCATTTGTATTTCGGTTCAATGAACTATCAATCCTGTCCTTTATGCATTTTGGTGGGGGGGGTGCTTAATGGTCTTTAACTTACTAATTTATGGGATACAAACACAGACAAATATATGCATACATACGTATATATTGAAATTTTCTCATGCTGTCATATGTATTACAATATTTCCCTCTATTGTTCATCATCATTATTATTATTATTGAGATGGGGTCTCTCTCTGTCACCACGCTGGAGTGCAGTAGCACAATCATGGGCTTACTGCAGCCTCAAATTCCTGGACTCAGACAGTCCTCCTGTCTTGGCCTTCCTTGTAGCTTGGACTATAGGAACATGGCACCACACCCAGCTAAGTTTTAAAATTTTTTGTAGAGACAGAGTCTTGCTTTGTTGTCCAGGCTGGTCTCAAACTTCGGGCTTCAAGCAATATTCCTGCCTTGGCCTCCCAAAGTGCTGAAATTACAGGTGTGAGCCACCACACCCAGCCAATTTTTCCTCTTTAACTTTTGCTTGTAACATTTTTTCTTTGCAAAAATCCTAGATATTAGGGTTTTTTTTACGGCTTCTGTGTTTTCTATCATGTTTCAAAAAGTCATTACTATTCAATTTTTATAAATGTCTGTTTTCTTCTAGCATAATTATCAGTTTCACTATAAATGCGTATAGAATTTATTTTATTAAGTTTAAATAAGAGCTTCTTCAACTCCAAATACTCGCAGAAAATCAGAAAAGTTATTGTTGTGGCCATGCACAGTGGCTCCCACTTATAATCCCAGCACTTTGGGAGGCCGAGGCAGGAACCCAGGAGACAGAGGCTGTAGTGGGCAGAGATTGTACCACTGCACTCCAGCCTGGGCAATAGGAACGAAATTTAGTCTTATAGAAAAAAAACGCCAGGCATGGTGGCTCACTCCTGTAATCCCACCACTTTGGGAGGCCAAGGCAGGCAGATCATGAGGTCAGGAGTTCAAGACCAGCCTGGCCAACACAGTCTTTACTAAAAATACAAAAATTAGCCAGGTGTGGTGGCAGGCACCTGTAATCCTAGCTACTGTAGCTACTCAGGAGGCTGAGGCAGGAGAATCACCTGAACCCAGGAGGCAGAAGTTGCAGCGAGCCAAGATCACACCACTGCATACCAGCAGCCTGGGCAACAGTGCAAGACTCCATCAAAAAAAAAAAAAAAAAAAAAGAAAGGAAAGAAAAGCTATGGTTCTTTCCTATAAAACAAAATAATAGTATTCACATTTAAACCCTAAGAAAAAGTTGACCACAGTGGCTCATGCTATAATCCTAGCACTTTAGTAGGCTGAGGTAGGAGGACTGCATGAGCCCAGGAGTCAAGGCTGCAGTGAGCTGTGATGATCATACCACTGCATTTCAGCCTGGGTGACAAAGTAAGACCTTGTCTCAAAAATAAAATAAAATAAAACAAACCCAAGAAAATTTCTAACAGATGAAAATTACTAGATCATTCAAAGTAAGTCCTTCTCAAGGACCTATGCAGCTCAATGGCTGCTATACTTAACTATTCCCTAATAAATTTTCCACATAAAATGTGAAATAATATTCAACTTAAGATTTCTATAAAATGTCCACTATACTATTTAATATTATCTCTTTTAAATAACTCTCTACTAAATAAGCTTTTATGTTCAATTTTTACATGTCACAGATACTGACAACCACCAAAAACCCAAAAACTTTAATATGCCAGTTTCTACCTAAAAAGTCTCCTTCAGCAGACCCTGTATTAAGAATAAGATGTTCAAAAAAGAAAATGATGTTCATTACTAATTTCCATAACTCATAGATGATAAACTGAAATATTTAAAAATTTCAAACTTTCTTTAAACCTTTTTTACCAAAGAAAATGACTATTTAGAGAAAAATGTGATCCATTTGTAACCAAATAAACAAACTTAACTTACCATGTGTGGAGCACTGATTGTTGCTTGGAAACCTGCAAAACAAGAAGAGAACTACTGATACAGTCAGCTGCAAAAATAGACTATTTTACATAATTTCTTTTCTAACATCCATATGTTATTTTTCCACAATAATTTTGTTTTAGTTTTTATGATCTCAAGAAAATAAAACTTATGTCTGTTAGAGTATTGCCACCCAGCAGTTAAAATTGGAAAATATAATTATGCCAAAGGGCAATGTGCTCATCTAGTAAAATGGTCCCTCTAAAGTATGGCAGCTAAAAATTTCTTCTTCTGTAGAGTCAGCTAAGAAAGAAAGAATTTCAGTAAGTTGAGAGTTGATATATTTTTGGCTTGTTTTTCCTTCAGACTGTTTTTTTAAAAATAAGCTTTCATATATAATAGGTATACTAAATCTGTGCAAAATTAAATTGCTTCATATTTCCGTCAACTTAAAAAAAACTAGAATAACTGAAAAATAGCTTAAAAGACCAATAAACTACTTCATTTTATTCTCTATCTTTTCATCTAATGTTAATTCACACAATCCCTTCTTGGTTCTTAACTTTTAGTTTCTTTTCTTCTGGTGTTCTTTCTCAAAACTTATTTACCTGCTTCTTTCTGCCTCTGAAGCAATTTTCACTGAGCGGTGGTAGCAGGTGCCTTCGGGGTTCAGAAGCTCCCCAGGATCTTCTCTGCTGACTGTTACAGTGCTTCAAAAGAAGATAGCATGGCAGCTGGCTGACAGAATCCTGAGGCACTTCTAAGCCTCAAAGGCGCCCACTGCCAAGGCTCAGCAGTTCAGCAAAACCTGCTTCAGGAGAAGGAGTTAAATATAGGACTTTCTAAAAAACAAACATAAGCCAAAAAATCAGGGCAAGTGAAGCAGAGAAGTCAGTAATAACTTAAGCACACTTACTGATCTAAATATTGATTTAAAAAATTAATACTAACCTGAAAACTAATTTTCAACACTAAGGCCCCTAAAGAAAACTCAGCACTCAGCTAATACTCTAAGTTTTCATTAAAAATTTTTTTCACCAAAATATTTTATTTTAAAAAATGTCTTTAATTCTTTATACATATTATATATTGTTTGAGAAAATAGAAAAACATACATCATTTTATTAAAATAGATATGTTTGGGATTATGAAACATACTGAGTCATAAAATTCAAACTAAGAAGGTAATAATAGGCTGGATGTGGTGGCTCACTTCTGTAATCCCAGCACTTTAAGAGGCCCACATGGGTGAATCACCTGAGGTTAGGAGTTCAAGACCAGCCTGACCAATATGGTGAAACCCCATCTCTCTTAAAATTACAGAAATTAGCCAGGCATGGTGGTGTGCACCTCTAGTCCCAGCTACTTAGGAGATTGAGGCAGGAGACGCACTTGAATCTAGGAGGAGGAGGTTGCAGTGAGTCTCGTCACTGCATTCCAGCCTGGGCGACAGAGTAAGCCTCCATCTCAAAGAAAAAAAAAAAAGGTAATAATAAATATCTGTGTCCCAGGCTTTTTATAGTTTCAAAAATCATAAAGTAAATGATGAAAAGTGTGACATTTTCAGAAATCTACAGCTTACCTATTGATTGTGGAGAATCCATGTAAGGGTTACATTTTGCATAGTGGGAGCGGTCTGTAGCCAGCATCACTTCAAATACTTTATCTGTCTTGATGATTCCATTTTCTGAAACAAATGAGGTAAATATTTTCAGGAGAGAGACACGATCAGAGGTATTTTAGAATAATTACACCAGTTGTGCTGCACAGACTGAACTGGTAAAACCATGAGAAGCTGCTGCAATGGCCCAGGTAACGGCAACCTGGTCTTTAATAACAATAAGGACAAAGAAAAGTAGAAGGATAATGAGATGTCTGGTAGGTAATATATACCTGACTGACTGGATTTGAGGGTGGGAGTGGGGATAATTGTTGAGATGCTAATGCCATTTACCGATTTAAGAAATCCTGAAGAAAGATCAAAGTCAAGGGGGAAAATGGTAAGTTATCTATTCAGTTAGGGGCTTTGGCGCATACAACTGGAGCCATTCTGTAGTCAGCTGGACACATGAATCTGGAGCTCAGAAAAGAGATCTAGAATAGAGATATAGATTTCTATTTATTATGGATGGCAACTGAAGCAATCAAAGTGAATTCAAAGTGGCCAGAGAATAAATAGAGAAGAAAAAGTCAACATCTAAAAGACATGCAAAGAAAGCAGAGCCATCAAAGATAAGGAGCAGTCACAGAGGCAGGATGAAGACCAGGCCAATATACTGTTGTAGAGCCCAGGAGAAGCGAATTTCTCAAGAAGAAAACCAAGATCAATAATATATATTTGGCTTTCCTAACAATTAGTTATTTGAGATAAAGGCCAGGTACAGCAGCCCATGCCTATAATCTCAAAGCTTTGGGAGTCCAAGGGAGGATAGCTTGAGCCCAGGAGCTTGAGATCAGGCAAGGCAACATAGTAAAATTGCCTCTATAACAACAAAAAAAAATTAATTAGCTGGGCATCATGGCACAAGTGTGTAGTCCTAAACACTCAGGAGGCTGAGGTGGGAGAATTGCTTGAGCCCAGGAGTTTGAGGTTAAAATCAGCTATGATCATACCATTGTACTCCAGCCTGGGTGAAAAGGCATGACCCTGTCTCAAGGCTGGATGCATAGGAAAAAGAAAAAAAAAAAAAAAATCAAACCAATGCCATTCAAAACTAATGTAAAAAGAAAACAAAATGCAAATCAAAACATTTCTGCTGATTAAACAAAACTAGTATTTAAAACTATATTCTAAAAAAATGTACCAGGAAGTAAACATATTACCGGGAAGATTTTAAAGGAAAGGAAAAGAATTCTCAGAACATCAAGGCAAAAATAATTAGCTGGGTTAGCATGGTGACTAACGTCTATAATCCTAACACTTTGAGAGGCTGAGGCGGGTGGATCATTTGCGGCCACGAGTTCAAGAGCAGCAGGGCCAATATGGCAAAACCCCATCTCTACTAAAAATACAGAAATTAGCCAGGTGTGATGGCACATGCCTGTAATCCCGGCTCCTTAGGAGGCTGAGGCACAAGAATTGCTTGAACCCAGGAGGCGGGGGCTGCAGTGAGCTGAGATCATGCCACTGCACTCAAGCCTGGGCAACAGAGTGAGGCTCTGTCTTCAAAAAAATTAAAAAAAAAAAAAAAAAAAACTAGCCAAGCATGGTTCTGCATGCCTGTGGTCTCAGCTACTTAGGAGGCTAAGGTGGATCAACTGAGCCTGGGAGGCAGAGGCTGCAGTGAGTCAAGATCACACCACTGCAATCCACTCCAGCCTGAGTGAGAGGATGAGACTCAATCTCAAAAAAAAATTAAGGCAAAAAGATCAAATTACCTATTATAATAAAAAATTTGAAAATCAACCAGGTGTGGTGTTGTGCGCCTGTGGTCCCAGCTACTTGGAGGCTGAGGTGGCAGGATCACTTGAGCTCAGTAAGTCAAGGCTACAGTGAGTCAGGATCATACCACTGTACTCCAGCCTGGGCAGTAGAGTAAGACCCTGTCTCAAAACACAAACAAATAGGTTGAGTATGTGGCTCATGCCTGTAATCCCAGCACTTTGGGAAGCCAAGGTGGGTGTATCATCTGAGGTCAGGAGTTCAAGACCAACCTGGCCAACATGGCAAAACACCATCTCTACTAAAAATACAAACATCAGCCAGGTATGGTGGCATGCACCTGTAATCCCAGCTACTCAGAAGGCTGAGGCAGAGAATCACCTGAACCCAGGAGGCAGAGGTTGCAGTGAGCCAAGATTATACCACTGCACTCCAGCCTGGGTGACAGAATGAGACTTTGTCTCAAAACAAACAAACCAACAAAAAACTAGGTCACCAAAGGTTTCTTAAGAGGAACAAACAAGCTGGATGCAGTGGCTCACATCTGTAATCCCAGCAATTTAGAAGACAAAGGCAGGTGGATTACTTGAGTCCAGGAGTTTGAGACCACCCTTGGGCAACATGACTAGACCCATCTCTACAAAAAATTTAAAAAATTAGCCTGGCATAGTGATGCATACCTGTAGTCCCAGCTACTCAGGGGACTGAGGTGGAAGGATCACTTGTGCCTGGAAAATCAAGGCTGCAGTATGCCCTGATCATGCCACTGCACTCCAACCTGGGCAACAGAGTGAGACCCTGTCTCAATAAATAAAAATAAAAATTAAGAGCAAGATTCAAAGCAAAGTAAGAATAAAGCAGCATTTCAAGAAATTCAAGGAAAGAAAATGCAAATCAACAATAAAAAGGAATGAACGGCCAGGTGCAGTGACTCACATCTATAATCCCAGAACTTTGGGAGGACTTTGGGAGGCTGAGATAGGAGGATCATTTGAGCCCAAGAGTTCAAGACCAGCCTGAGCAACATAGTGGCAACCTGTCTGTACCAAGAAAGAAAAAAAATAGGAGCGAATTACTGATATACTCAACATGAATGAATCTCAAAAGCACTAATCTAAGTGAAAGAAGCCAGACAAGCAGACTACATATGATTCCATTTTTAACACATTCTAGAAAAGCCAAAACCATAGTGGTAAAAGGCCTATCTGTAGTTGCTAAGGGATAGAAGGGAGGAGATTAATTGCAAAGAGACAAAAAAACGTTTTCAGTGAAAGAAGCGTTCTGTAGCAGAGATCAGCAAACAACTGTAAAGGTCTAAATAGTAAACATTTTAGAATGTACAAGCCATATACTCTCTGTTGCAACTACTAAACACTGCCACTGTGGTGCAAAAACAGCCAGAAACACTACATAAATGAAAGTGTGGCTGTGTTTCAATAAAAATTTATAAAACCAGGCAGGGGGCCAAATTTTGTCGGTGGCCTGTAGTTTGCTAACCCACGTTCTACATCATAACAAAATTGGTAGTTACACACTGTATCTGTGTGTCACATTTTTTTCAAATTGTATTCTTCAAACTGGTGAATTTAAGTGTAAGCCAAGGATTTTATACCCAGCCAAGCTGTCCTTCAAAATCAAGGCTATAGGGAGGGGAAAAAAAAACATTTTGAATATGTAAGAACTCAGAGAATGTTGTACACACAAGCCCTTTCTGAGGAATCTTCTAGAGGATGTGTTTTATCTAACCAAGAGATAACCAGGGATATGTTGGCAAAGGACACATACCCAATTGTATAGCCAAGACAAAAATAAGGATAGGAACATGGGTGAAATAATAGCACTTAAATGTTATATGTTCTGACAAAGTCTTGAAAGAATAAAAACAATTAGAGGAGGAAATAAAGGGAAAGTAGAATTAGATCACTGTTGTACAGGTAATAGAAGGAATCAAACGATACCATTTCACACAGATTGATCAAATAGCAAGTTTTGCCCTTGTTACCCAGGCTAGAGTGCAGTGGTGCGATCTTAGCTCACTATAACCACTGCCTCCTGGATTCAAGCAATTCTCCTACCTCAGCCTCCTGAATAACTGGATCACCGGCACCCATCACAATGCCCGACTAATATTGTATTTTTAGTAGAGATAGGATTTCACCATACTGGTCAGGCTGGTCTCAAACTTCTGACCTCAGGTGATTCACCTGCCTCACCTCCCAAAGTGCTGCTGGTATTACAGGCGTGAGCCAGCAAAAAAAAAAAAAAAAAAAAAAAATTAAGGTCAATTAATAACACTATAAAAGGTATAAATACAAACTTTCCAAGTAACAATGAATATTTTTTTAATTACCAAAAAAGGCACATCAAACAGAGAAAACAATTTAAATAGTAATAGACTAGCAAAGACAAATGTAAATGGTATTTCCATTTTAAAATATAAATTTTGGATAAATTACCCAAATAGAAAATATTATTTCTACACAAAGAAGTGTAGGCAAGCTACTCAAAAAGGTCAGTAGAATAAAACACTGAAAAGTACTTTTTTATTTTTAAAGAGGCAGGGTCTGGCTCTGTTGCCCAGGCTGAAGTACAGCGGCACCATCAAAGCTTATTGTAACCTCTGACTCCTGAGTTCAAGTGCTCTTCCTGTCTTAGCCACCCCAACACTTAGGCTGACATGAGCATGCCCCGACACCTGGCTAATTAAAGTATTTTTGTAGAGAGTGGGTCTTGCTATGTTGCCCAGGCTAGTCTCAAATTCCTGGCCTCCAGTGATCCTCCCACCTCAGCTTCCCAATGTGCTGAGATTACAGGCGTGAGGCCCAGTCGCTAGCCTGAAAGCATTTTTTTTAAATTCCAAAAGCAGAGTAATAGTAGCAGTGATATTTGCTGAATGTTTACCATGCTAAAGATACAGTTCTAATAAACAGAATCAATCTTAAGTTGTCTCAAGCCTATAAAGTAGGCACTATTATTTATTTCATTTGACAGATCATAACATTGAGGTCAGAAAAACTAAGTAGTCCAGGATAACAGCAAATAAGGGGTATGGTTATTCAAATTAATATGTTAGATTTCTATTGATCACTATACTGCTACTAACATATTCAAATAACTTAGTGAGTTCTACTACTGTCCAAAATACTTCTTGAGTGGTTCATTTGCCCTGATATTAATTCAAATTCCAGAGGGTGATTCATAGACTCTCAAGACCACAAGAGGCTTTAGGAGCCATCAAGTCTAACTTCATAAATTGGTACCATATTCTCTACTAAAAGAGTTCCATTATTGTGATTCTTACTAGC